TTATGACACCCTCTATATATATATACGTATATATATATATATATATATTATTATGTGAAATGCAAATTACAATTACACTAGGTGTAAAAAGTTACTGCACATGATGATGAGATGATGATGATGATGATGATGATGTCTATATTGATGGTGGGTTCAAGGCTGCAACTGCTTAAATGCAATTGCCAAAGGAACCGGAATTGCAGTTGATGGCAAGTTTCAACGGCTTAATGGACAGGTTAACGGTAATTATATGTGGCAGTGCGCAGTGTGTGTGCTGCTATGTAAATCCCTCAATATGCAGCATTCTGTATCCGACATATATGCGCTCTGTGGTCACTTTATATTCAGCTGAGAGAGGCTGCAACCGAGCGAGAAAGATACAGAGAAAGAGAGAGAGAGAGAAAGAGAGAGAGAGAGAGAGAGAGAGAGAGAGAGAAAGAGACAGAGAGAGCGAGAGCGAGAGAGGGAATTTTCGTATGAAATTGTTTGTCATATCGAGCATGGGAATGGGGCTGTTGTTGTCCAATGACCTCGTCCTTGTTCTCGACTTCCTTGGCACTTCCTTTTGGCTATTTAATTTGTGGTTTGCCAGCCAACGAACCAGCAGCTAGCTGCATGTGGGCCATGTTCGTTGACATCCTTCCGCTCTGGACGCACGCACTCCTTTCATTGTGCGGGTTGCATGATGATGATGCTGTGCTGCAGTATTTTTTGCTGACCAGCAACACAAATTCGATTTAAATTCACCTAAAATAGAGAAATGCTTGCAAACAGCCAAATTCTGAATTGTGTCCCCTTACTCAACTCCACTCTCCCATTTTTTCTACCTCTCTTTTTAGATATTTTGGAATTTGTCTTAAAAACTAGTTTGTTTCTTACTTAAGCTTTCCTTGCACTACTCATTTATATCTCCCTTTGTCGTAGCACTATTTCCCGCAAAAGAAAAACCAAATTGCTTTCCCATTTGCCTTTGCCTTTCCATTTCTTCCAATTTTTTTTTCTAATACGCTCTTATTATTTCTGCAGTCATCTTTCCCAATCACAATCTGTTATTTCCTGAATTCTTTAATGTTTGGCATTTAAATTTTGTACAACCTTAAATTTTTGTTTTCAAAAGCTGATGTTTGAGTTCCCTGACTCATGGCTCAGCTTAGTCCATTCATATTAATTCCTTCCTCAAATCCAATACACATTTTTTACATTTCCTCCTATTTTCTCGCTAATTGCACCCAATTGGCTAATAACTTCTTTCATTCATTTCATCTTTGCCTTTTTCTTTATTCTCCTTAGGATTTCTTATAACTATTTCTTACCAATTTAGCTGAATCTTTTTAAAGAAAAGTGGCAAAGGGAGACTGAGAAAGAGAGAGAGGTGCCAGCGGGGTGTCCCTGGCTGAATTTCTTTTAATTTCTTTCATCTTTCCGTCTGCTAGCAATCTAAACGGTGACGGAGGAATGGAGATACGCGTGACGTTTTCAACATTCTTTCCAAAAAACACAGCACATTTACCGTTACTCAAATTTTACTACTAAGACTAAGAAAATTTTAATGGTCTCTTGTGACATTTATAAAGAATGGGGCATTGTCACATCAGCGACCTTTTCATGTTGATCCAAATTATGAACTGTATTCTATATTACGTTTGCCTGTTCTGGAGGAGGCGCTGGGAATGCTAACTGAAGTCGGCAGGGGAGGGTTCATTTGACGGATCGCCGCCCGTTTGTTCGAATATGGCCACAGTTGCGGCAACACGTCTACTCTGGAATTTAAGGCTCCTAGCCGGCTGCACTACAGCTTTCCGCTCCTCGGGCTGGCACATGCCCTTGAACATCTCAGCGAGAAGACGCACATTCTGGTTGATAGGCATATTTGCGAAAGAGAGGAGTTTGGTCCCCGTGGCACAACAAATAAAATAAAATTACTATTGTTGTATGAAATGTTAAAATGACTATTGTTATGTGAATTGTAGCTAGTATCTGACAAATGTCATAAAGAGGAATTCTGACACAGCCTGTTCAACTCAGTAATGGGACGGGAGCACCCATGACTTGCTTTGCCAGCACATCAATCACAATCACTGTAACATCATCTGTTGGCTGTTGGCTGTTGGCTGTCAGTCTTGGCATATTGCACATACGCCCTGGATGCTTTCGTCGATGACAGCCGGAGGCAGTGGCAGGGTGAAGTGCCACAAGAGTCTATCATGTCACGTAGATTAAACACAGATTAACAGGACGTGCCAAGTCATTGACTCTGGCTGCTAAGCATCCGAGGCTTACTAAAGAGTCAAAGAATATGGCCCAGCAACTTCGATGATTTGAGAATGCATTAAACCTCATTACGGACCTCATTTCAATTTTGGCTATTAGTCAGCAAATTAAATGTACATTCCAAAGTGACAGCTCAATTGGTTGCCAAACTTTATCCTTTTAAGTAACTAATAACAATTGTTACCTTAAAACTCTGAATATTTTGTAGAATGTAAAAAATATTATCATATATATGTTGCCTTATGCTATTTGATATCATCATTGATTGGCTAATAGCATTATTCGTGATTACACATTGCTGGCATAGTTGTGAAAGCACAAACGCTTTCCTTACATAAATGTGAAAGTTACAGATCCAGCTATGACTTGGTCTGGCAATAAATTCAACAGCACCCTCGGTGCAAGCTTTGCTGCTTAACCTTTCGTGTTCTTGAGTATTGATTCTCAAATACCATTTGTGTGCAAAGGGATGAACCTCAAATGTGTGAATGGGACTTGTACAACTCCCCCGGCATCACATTACCATTGATGTAAGGTGTTGTCAATCGGTTGAAGCGACACCCCAAAAGCTTGTAACTCGAAACTTGGAATAAATCCTCGTCTATGCCTGAGTTAGAGGAAGTGTTAAAATTGAGGCGCTACGTCCACTAGGTGGCTGGTAAATCGATCAAATTAATTATTGCAAATTGGTAAAACTACATTTCTTTGACCAAATAGATAACTAGAAACTTCCTTCTTGGATTGATAGGAATTATTTCTTGACCTGACCAGCCCAACTCTCTCGTCATTTTAGAAATAGAGTCACAAAGGTTAAATCGTCCATTAATAATACAGGTATCAGAGTGTTCCGCAACGTTCTCACTTGATTATCTTTTGAATTATCCCCGTTCTGGAGTCAATTTCTTTGCTTTTGTTCATTACATTTTCCCATCTTAAAATTGTTGCTTCTAAGGAGTTCTTTTTTAAGTTTCCTTTGCCATGACTCGCCTCACTCCACTCAAATTAATTTCTTCTCCGAATTCCATCGATTTTTTCACAGTTCCATCTATCGTTGTACTAATTATACCCAATTGGCTAATAATTTAATTTTATTCATTGAAGCTGCCTCTTAATTTTCTTAAGCATTTTCCTTTTTACAATTTCTTTTCAACAAATATGAGTCTATTTAGTTGAAATGCGGACAGGCAAATTGAGTAAGAGAGAGGGAGAAAATTGAGATGGGTAGATGGCTTTATGAAGTTTTAGCTATTACTTAAAATTATCATGTAGGAAATACATATGTATGTATAACAATTCAACACTCAACATTAAATTATTTGAATGCGTGCAGCTATCTGACCGTGTCTACTGGTTAACATCTAATGATTCTTCCATGTTACACATTGTAATATATTTATAATGCGTATACAACTGTGACTGCCAATTGCATTTGACGCCCAAAGCCCAATTCAAACTAAATGACTAATCCCATATGTATCCTCATTGCAATCATGTCACTGCACATGTTAACTGCATGTCATGCAATTTGCATGATTGCAGCGTGTAACTAATTAACACCTGCACAATTAACGGCGCAATGGTATCGAGCTGTGCACTAATGAAATTGTGGTCGCATCTGGCCTTCCACCCACCCTTCCTGTGATCACCGTGTTTAGAAGTAACTTTAGCTTAAGTTCATAAGTCCTTTCAGCTCGATTTCATTATAATATTTAATTATATATATTTCAAAAAACGGCAAAAAAAGTATAAAAAGAAGTCAATAATTAATTGAATGGGCTTCTTTTAAGGTAAGAACAGTTAAGCATAAGTTATATTTTAAATTAAATTTTTATTTAATCCAATATAATATTTTTTTAATTAAATAGTGAGACTTAACTTCGAAACATTTTTGAAATTCGCGTGGATTCTTGTCTAATTAGTACTTAGGCGGATGCAGACCGCAATCGATAAGTTATTGCATATTTACAAAAAATAACTAAAGCTGTTGGACACTTCTACATTTGTTCATATTATTGTAATTATTATTATTATTACCATTTATTTATTTAACTTAGCACTGCTGGCTTATAAGCTTTAAATGATTGCACTAGTCTACCTTGGGACTAGTAACAATAATAATTCATATAATTAATGTCAAATGAATTGATCACAATATTAAGTATATCATTTAATTGATTTATATTTTAAATTTTAACATTCATATAGATTTTTAGTTAGTTGTAATTAGAAATGCGATAGGTAGATAGATATGCTGACAAGCGGGAGAAAAAACCCAGAAATTATTTGTTCAACTCTTTTGTGCTTTCTGATGACTTTTATATTTGATTATCGCTAGAAATCGTTATTGAAACATGCATCTCGCTACACTTCTGTAGGCTACCCCAAATATATTTGGACTGACAACCCATTAGCAAATAATTTGATTCCATAAAATTGGGATTAGGATTACGTATCCTGTACAAGTGTTGCAATATTAGTCGCTTTGTGCGCCGCTACACGATTATTGCCATGTTATTGGCCAATTGGCTGGCATGTAACCTTATATGTGTGTGGGTGTGGATGTGGGTGTGTCTCATCGACAACTGCAATCGGGCACGAAATTGAAAATATGGCGAATTTGAATGCGAATGGCAATGGAATTGTATGGGATTAGTGGTTGCCGCATCACTTGCGATACCAATTGAATTGCATTTAACGAGCAAATTATTTCTCCCTCACTCTCATTACAGAATCCACAAAGAGCACAGGAAGAGGACACCAATGCGTCTAATTAGAAATTTGAATGTTCGGCGCAACGGTTGAACGAATTGAGCTGGTGCTTAGTGCATATATACAATTAGCCAAGCTTGATGAAATTCGCTAGCGGGCGCAATAATTAAAGTCCACAGCAGTTGCAACCAAGGCCGCCACATTGGAAGGAAAACGCCTCTTCACAGCAGTTAATAAGTTTTTAACTGGTTCAACCATTGCCCGCGAGCTGAGGCAACTAATGGTAAGAGGAGATACCCATGCAGAGTGTTCAAGTATGAACATGTGAAGCTCTAAGCAGGTGCAGGTAGCGGACTCATGCGGCATTCTCAAGGGTAGGTACTTGAGGCTGGCCTGCATAGGGTCACGCTATTTTTAGAAATCGCAGATGAGGTACATACATATATAGCGGTCCAAGCGGTACAAGCGACCGCATTAGATAAGAAACATATGTCAGTATTTAGCTTTAAGAACTTTCAATAAAATCAAAGCCTGCAGACAGTTCGAATCTAAACGTCGTCTCATCGTGTTGACTACACACTTATCGTGCTTCACACATTTTTTGGTCCGTCGAGCCGGATTTTAGAGCTTGATTTTAAACGTCGAATCTGCAAATATTTTGATCCTTCGAGAAAGGCAAGGCGTGTCCTGTGCCTTACAACCGAACTGTGAAACAAAAACAAACCAAAAAAAATGCAAGTGAATATTTTGTCAGAAAAACAAATCGAGCTGCTAAAAAAATGGAGTCGTCCACATCGCAAAAAGAGAATGATGGACGGTTAAAAGAAAAGTTCAAGTCATGAAAAGGGAAGACTGAGCATATGAAACGCACTGTGCCATCGAGCTATGTGCAGCTCAACTTGTGGCAAAACTACTGTGTCGAGTCTCGTCCACAATGAACTATCAAGTTCAAATCAACGCTTGGAGCGAAACGCAAATTACAATTGCATGGATCAAAAATAAGCACAGTAGGGACAAATTTGTGGGAAGCAGGTTGGATGACATTATGAACCATTTACCATTTGTAAAATGAATCTACGTGAAATCGAAAGAGCGTCCAGCAGGCGTAGCCTCAAGAGGAGGCTTTACACCAGAAAAGCGGGAGCATTGGTCAATTTGGTGGCATGGACCACAGTTGTTAGCTCAGCCTGCCAGCAAGTGAATGGAACCCATTTCATGGGAGTAGCAAGGTAATTAAATGTCAATTTAGAAGCTGCTATTTTGATCGCACGTTGTATAAAAAGATGGCATAACCTGGCATTTTATTCCACCCCGGGGAATGTACTCACCGCTGGACATTTCCAAGTAGGTAGGCCACTTATAAGTGCACCAGAAGATATGGATGTGCATGGGCAAATAGGATCGATGAGTTCAATATCTAGTAATTGCCGGAAGGCAATCAAATTTTTGCTGCTCATTTATCAACTGAAGGATTGTATCGACGATTTATTTATGGATTTAAATCAGGGAAAATATAATCCCATACTCATCCAGCCTTCTCAAATGTTGAAGGCGATAAACAAAGTACAAGACGTCATGCCACGCAACCACTTGTTATCTTGGATAACTTCTCGCAGTGCATAGTATATTCAAATATGAGATTATCATAATTAAGGTAAAAACTCTACTTGAATCTGAAGTCGGCAAATTTTTTGAATTATTCTGATAACAAGGGCCGTTGGGAAAACTAGGAAACAAGAGTTTAAAAATGTCGTGTTCAATGATTGGAGCAATCATTTTGGATAAAAATGGGCTGGTTAAACTACCGAATGTTGGCATCTTGGACCTCAATGAAGGATGTTCCTTAAGACTTAAAGGAGTGACTCTACAGGGCCCCAGAGTTTGCACACATTGCTTAGGGGGAACTACTCGACGCACTTCATAAAGGAAGCAAACAACAATAAGCGCTTCCAGCTAACACTAATTGGCTCGCTTAGAATCAACAGTGTCAGGGAACTTCAACCACTGCAGAAAATTATACAATACCTTGACGACTTGCAGTTCTGCATTAGATAACAATAATGTTAGATTCAAGAATTTGCAATATAATAAAGTCCTGCTTGTCAGCATCGTCTCATCGTGTTGACTACACTCTTATCGTGTTTCACACACAGAGATTATAGTTTTTAGTCAATATATGTAGCACATTGAGGAATGTACAATTTTAAATGTTGTATCTCTGAAGCCGTTAAAAATTGACAAAAGTATATAATGAAGTTGTGCACATGCATCTAAAAGGCAGAAGGAAGTATCTTGGACCCCATGAAATATATATATATATATCCTTGAACAGCCAAGTCGATATTTGCACATTTTCTTCTTCCCACGATAAGAAAAACACAGAACATTTAACGTAGCTTAAATATTACTACGAAGACTTGGAATTTTTAATGGTGTCACGTGACATTTATAAAGAATGGGGCATGTTGTGAACTGTGTTGTGTGTTTGCCTGTTTGCCTGTTGTGAAGGTATCAGCATAATTTATGTGCTGCGTCCACTCCAGGGAACCTCAGGCCCCATAAGTTTTGGGCTGGACATCTATCACCAAATGAAGCTATAGCTTGGGCGCACAGATCCACGCTTTGCATTAACTGGCGGGAATAGCACAAAAAATCATTATATATCAGAATCTAATATACAAGTTAGATCAATTAGCTTGCTACTTACAAGACTCCAAATCACCATAGCTGGGTATAGCCGTTATTTCTTGTTTTAATTTAGAGGCATAAGAGACAACATGTATACGCTCTCTCTGCTCCTGCTGACTCAAGTCGGCAAGGGAGGGTTCATTTGACGAATCGCCGCTTTTGTTCGGCGTTTGTTCAAACATGGCCACAATTGCGGCAACACGTCCACTCAGGAATTGAAGGCTGGTGGACTGCTGCAATGCACCTTTCCGCTCCTCGGGCTGGGTCATGCCCTCGAATATGTTAATGAGAAAATGCACACTCCGTCTGGTAGGCATATTTACGAGAGATACGCGTAAATGAAAATATAAAATCAAAACTTAATAAGAACAAGTACACAATGGAATGTGGAAAAATAATGAAAATGTTATGTGAAAACTATAGCTAGTAATTGACAAATGTCGTAAACATATATTAACATATATAAACACAGCCTGCTGAGCTTTGTCTTAATTCGATTTGCCAACTGGTTGTTGGCTGCCAGTTCTTTTTCAGACATTTAAGTTTTTGTTCTTAAATTTAAAAGTACCTTAAACACGAAATATTAATAAAATATTAAGCAAGGACCCACCAGCCAACAAATATTGAATAGAAAAAGCTTTTAACAATTGAAGTTAACTTTAACACAAATATGTGTTAAATAATCGAGCACTGTAAAATTGCTTCTGAGGCTTGTTCTTTTGGAAGTCTTTTCAAGTTATGTTAAAGGTTTGGTGTCAATATTATTGAAATGAAATTGATTGGCAGGCGGATTAAATTGGTATCACAGATCGACGAGCCATCACAGAGCAACAGGCAGTAAAGAGTCGTGTTAAGTGAATGATAAGATCAGAAAATGATGCTGTTCAAAGCCATTTGCCGGCAAGGGCATTCAATCTGCGTTATCTCTCAAATAAGTGTTATTGCTTGCTCAGTTTGAGACCGTTCTGAAAACTACTCTTTCCTGGATAGACGAGAAACGCGCCGCTTAGTGGTGATGAGCCCGACGAGGAGCAGATGGCGACGGGTACAGACAACGATGAGCAGCAGACGCAGCCGGTTGACGATGGCCAGAGTCAGAGTCAGCAGCAGCACACAAATGAGCAGCAGTCGACAGCAAATCTGCCACAGCAGCGACGCCAAAGGCAACGCAAGAAAGTGACAACGCAGCAACAGCAGCAGCAGCAACAACAACATCGTGGCGCCAACCAGTCGGATGCGGACACAGATTCCAGCTCATGTGAGGCTGGTGGCGTGGCCAGGGCCGGTGTCACAAAGTCGGGCGTAACTCGAAATAGCACTCGAGTCAGCTATGCACAGCGCAACCTCAGCGACCAGGTTGTCTACGAGCAATACAACGATGATGAGGCAGATGACTATGACGAGGATGAAGAAGACGACGACGTGGAGGAGGAAGAGGAAGACTACGATGACTATGAGCAGCTGACCAGCTTGCAGCGTGCACCTATCAAAACATCGCCAACCATGCGCGGCTCAGTGACAGCCGGATCAGATATTGCCACGGAGAGAGAGTTGGGCAAGTCGTCACTAAGGAACAAGCGCAAAACGAAAACACGTCAATTCTCGCAGCGGGCCAGCTCGTATGCCGTGGATGCTGTTCATGGTGAGGCGGATGCGGATGCGTTGGACAAGCGTCGCTGCATCTCCAAGGGCCAAATGCGTGGTAAGTGTAAAAGAATGTGTGCCACTTGCAAGTTCAACCAGTCAAAATTCAAAACTTTATCTGAAAATTCCAAAGTAGAGTTGTCTCCATTTGCTCACAGAATTCTGCCTGTTATTGTTATTGTTATTTTATTATTTTATTATTTTTACCACAAATATTTTATGATTCCACATATTAAGAGCCTTTTAAAATGGCTTATAAGTGTATATAATTTAATTTGACAATATCCTGCGACTTGTTTGCATGGCGTGAGTTTTTTCGCTAAGCTTATAAATTCAGAGAAAATATTTTTAGATATTATAAAGACTTTCTGCTTACCATTAGTGGGAGTTTTTTTTTTGTATTGTTTCTTCGTTTTTGTTTAAAATGCAGTTTACGCAAATATTTCAGAATTTCGCGAAGCATTTCGCCTATTTGACAAGGATGGCGATGGCTGCATAACCAAGGAGGAGCTGGGCACCGTTATGCGCTCGCTGGGACAGTTTGCGCGCGTCGAGGAGCTACAGGAGATGCTGCAGGAGATCGATGTGGATGGTGAGTATTGTAGATAATGGGCGCAGCTATTGCTTTCTCTCTCTCTCTTTTTATCTCTCTCACACACACACACACACACACACATTAATTCTGGCTGTTTTTCTATTTGTCGGCAGGCGATGGAAATGTGAGCTTCGAGGAGTTCGTTGACATACTCTCCAACATGACCTATGAGGACAAATCGGGCCTGTCCTCGGCCGACCAGGAGGAGCGCGAATTACGCGACGCCTTTCGCGTCTTTGATAAGCACAATCGTGGCTATATAACCGCCTCCGATTTGCGTGCAGTGCTGCAATGCCTGGGCGAGGATCTCGACGAAGAGGAGAGTAAGTTGTTTCACATGTACACAAGGAAAGCATTTGTGCTTTCACACTGGCACTGCACAAAAACAAGTTTCCCATTAAAGAGCTTATTGGTCGTCTCTCTCTCTCTCTCTCTCTCTCTCTCCCTCTCTCTCTCTCTCTCTCTCTTTCTCTCTCTCTCTCTTGCTATAGTTGAGGATATGATCAAGGAGGTGGATGTGGATGGTGATGGGCGCATTGATTTCTATGAGTTTGTGCATGCACTGGGCGAGCCGGAGGATTCGCAGGAAATCGACGATGAGGAGGAGAACACCACATCGCCGCTGCCGACGCCCAAGTCCGCAGTCTCCCTGGGCTACGATTGAGAGATTTACTAAGAGTTCAACAATTTGCTCAACATTGGATATGATACCGATAATTATAACGATTACATTTACAATTGCAATCACTTATCTCACGCCATTTGCTCTGAACGCACAGCTCAACGAATCGAGATGAATATTTACCAAGTAATTAAAGTAAATTAATACACTAATAAAAAACAAAAAAAAACTGTTACAATTACTTCACGTGCAGTGTGAAACATCATAAGCAATACCAAATATGATACCACTAAACGCAAATTCACATAAATTAATTAAAATAACTCAAATTCGATTAACATCAATATATACGTATTTATCTCTTTCTCTCTCTCTCACTCACTCTTAAAATTTAACATAAAATCAAAGTACTCATAGAAAGTGGTATACCGAGAACGAATCCAATTTAAAACGTAAATACTTATTTGATATCTATCTTGACTATTTACCTTAATATTATATCGAAAACTTGTTGAGATCATACAAAATCGATTTTTCAAAACATAAACATATCAAAATCGCCTCAGATTAAGTATTTTTGCTGCACCACCAACAACAGCCATTCAGTTTACCATTCACCCAACATCCCCAATCAAAAATATAAAATGAAAAAAAAAAAGAAATAAATAAAAAAAAAAAAAAAATTGTTGCCCACATTTGCGGCGCTTTCACAGATACTCAAAATAGCAACAACTTAGCAATATTTATTTTCATTTGGGCTAAGACTTATATAATGTACTTAAGCAATTCCATTTTTTCAAATTCAAAATTTAAATATACTTACATATAAATACTACTGAATACGAATATGAATACGAATACGAATACGAATACGAATACGAATATATGACAATTTATTTAGCTAATACGAATTCTTGCTCAATTATTGTAGCAGCATCGTCTACAAATTGCAAAACTTTCATTAAAATTTAATGTACAATTTTTATTCAATCAAAAACGAAATTAAAAATAAAAAACAACAAAAAAAAACAAAGAAAATAAATACAACATATACATAAATAAATGCGTTTATCATTTTCAATGTGGGAAAGTGTTGATTTTAGCTAATTGGCATGTTGCGCATCTCAAATGGAAACATTAATCTCTAACTCAAAGTGAAATGAGCTGATCTCCTTTAAATAACTAAATAAGAGAAAACCTTAAGCTCTGCTTACATGTGTAAGCACTGACTATGCTTTCTGCACAATTGACGACGGCCCGCACTCCTTTCCCGCACACACACACACACACACACAGAACCACAAGGCAACCTTTCGTTTCACCCTTCATCACACTCTTTCACTCCCCCTCTCCCTCACTCACTCTCTGGTTTGAACAGGCAACCACTTGCAGACCTTAACAATTTGTCGTAATTTAAAAATAAATTTCCATATATGCATGTCTTTGTGTGTGTGTGTGCTCTTCACAAATACAAAATAGCACGCACACACACACACACACATACGTGTGTACACTTGTATAAATATTAGCATATCGAGTGGACGTATGCCAAAAAGTAGGCAACAAATTTGTTGCTACAATCAATGAATGTTACTTCTATTGAATGGCCCCTGCTGCGGTCAGCAGCAGTAGCAGTGCTAGAGGGGAGCGGTGGAGGCGTGGCTTGTTCCCTAGGCGCACATTCAGGCGGAAACTTGGCAACTGAAAGCAACGTTTGCAAAAGTCACATTAATGGGCATGTAAACGACGCAAGTCAAGTGCTCAGCCAGCAAATTATTAGGGTTCCCCAGAGCTCAAATACACACAACACACGCACATACGCAGAGAAGGGGACAAGAGGTACTCAGGGAAGGGTAGGGGTTGGGGTGAACACAATCCCAGAGTTATACAGCCTCCTAACGAGCTGTGCACTGAGTTGCTTTGTGGTTGGTTTATAAGCTACTTTTGGGTGCGGCACTGAGGCGTATGCGCAATGTTGTTGTCAGTTTCATCCAGGTCATATAGTTGTCATCTAATCTGCAAATTGCCTTTTTTTTTATATATAGATTACAATTGAAATACAATGTGAGAAATACATATGCCTGCTTGTAAGTTTACAACAGGCGCCATGCCCATGATGGACTTTAAGTTATATTTACTGTCGAGACTTCCGCTTGCAATCCCCAATTGGTATTTCAGTTCGCATTGTCGCTGGCCAGGTTGTCAATTTGTTGCTAAGTGGCGTCCCTCCCTTGAGTCACTCGATGCTGCTTTCTTTTTTAAAGTCCATAGATTGCTGTTGGCTTTTGCCTGATTAACAACTTGGTCTTTGGGGACCACAGTTGAGCATGGGAACTTTCTAAATATATTTGATGCCAATTTGCGAGGCTATTCAACCGGCAAAGTCAGTCTTCTAATATAATTATGCTATATATAATATCTGCATTTGATGTGCGTGCCATTATTTCTAATTAATTTTAATGAGTTGACTGTCTTCAACTGAGCTGATGTCTCGTCAGAAATGCTTCGCCCTTGGCATAGACAGCCGCTTGCCCTGCTTGCTTTCGTCTATATATGTATGTGTCGCCTGGCTGATTGATATATTGCCAATAATACTATATTGATATATTGAAGCTGCAAGTGCGTGCATGCCACTCTGTCATATCCGAGTTCCATGTCACATTAATCACAGCCTGTGCCATCATTTTTGTTGTCATTTCTGTTTTTGCTCCACTTAAATACACTTTCTTTGGTTGGCTGAATTTATATTTGGTTATTTCAGCTGATTCAAATCCACAAGGAAATGATCTGTTTCGATTTCCGATTTACGTATTTTGGCAGCTTAGTATTTGCCGGATTTCAAAATAGGAGAAAAAATAAAAGTACAAAATATCGGGTAAAAGTAACGTTAAGAGTATTCAGATATACTTTTACTTTTCAACTGTATTTTTGTTCAAACATTGTTTTTTGTTCTTTTTTTTTGCGATTGCTTTGTTACTGGCATTGTTATAATCAATATATAATTACGATACAAAATGAATGCATTGTTGTTTGGCCAAACGAACATAAATCAGGCAAGAAGCTATGTGAATTGATGGGCCCTTTAAATCAGGCGGAGAACAGCAAGTTTGTGTGAACACTCGTAAAGACTTTGTGGTTCAGCTAAAGTTGTCTTAAACTTATTGTTATCTATATATCTTGATAGTTTCAGTTATTTCACAAATTCGCTTCGTTCAACTGAAAGTTCTTCAAATTTATTAACTGAAATTTGTGGTATGCGTTAATCAGGAAAATGTGCTTTGTTTCTGTATGTGTTTTTATATATCCTGCTCTCAGTCGACCTAATTTTATTTATTAGCAGCTAAAGCTAATCATCTGTCCTTATCAGATAGCTTGGCTTGTAGCAGCCTGTCCAGCTTCGAGCAGAACTCAGACTTGGCAATGCCCGCATTCAACAACACTTCCCCATCCCGATGTCGCCTGGCTGTTAACGGTACATCAATGCTTAGCGTTCTCTGCCGCTCCACACGCTGCTCTTCCATCGCCTTCAGTGGCATCCTGCCCGCTCCCATCTCAGACAACTGTCTGCCCACATTGCCATTGCTATTGGTATTGGCATTGGCATTGCCATTGCCAGCACATCCACGCAGATAGTTGTAGCCTGGGAGCCAACGGCGCAGTAAACGGTCCAGTCTGGCCAGAGGGCGTAACTTGGACACATGTGTGCTGCTCTGTTGTTCGTTGATGCCACCGCTGGTGCTGCTGGGGATGCTGGGGATGCTGACCTTATCTCTATCACATCTGCTGCCGCTCGCACTGTTGTTGATCTGCTCAAGATTCTCGCATTCCGTGGCCATGTTGCTTGAGCTGCCGCAGCTGTTGCGTGGTATTTCTGTTTGAGCAAGGAAGGATTTGGGCTTTGGTTTGATTTAATGAAACAATTCTTATTGTGGCAACTCAACGTTAAAAAAAAGCGTCAAGTTTCAGCATTGCCAAGTTTTGCATGGGCTACGTGATTTTGCTCGATCCATTTTTTTTCTCACTTTAAATCAATATAAAAAGAAAAAATCCAATGACGTTTTAAGTTAATATTTTCGTGAGACTGAACTCAGATTTTGGTTAGAGTTAGTTATTTGGTTGGAGCGAAGCCCATCTGCATCTGAATTTAAGCAAAACAAATTGTATGAACTTATAATATAAGTAACAAAAAAACTAATTTTAGAGTTGGTTTGCGAATGTAAAAAACATGGCTTTTCAATTATGGAAATCCTACATTTTTAAATAGAAAACACAATTCTTCAATTCATATTCAAATTAGTTCCTTAAAAGGGTTAAGCTTACCAGTGCCAAAAAATCAAAAAATTGATTCAATGCTCGAAATTCATGTTTAAATATGAAGTTGAAAAGTTGCGTGTTTTAAATAGAAGAAAAATACCATGAAATGAAATAAAGAAACGCACTTTTTGTTAGAAACATCGTCGATAATAAATAGCGAATTTCGAAAATGTAAGACAATTTTTCATTTAAACTAAATTTAAATACGCTTCGCCTGACTTATTTGCAACGAGCACTTCTTAAAAGCAAAATCTCCTCAGTTCTTCGCACCTTTTCCAATTCAGCGCCATAGTTTACGAATTTGTCATACCATTTGCTCAGTTTATTTCTTAAACGAACAATTTGACCACCCTGGTGCTTATAAATTATCGTATATATATATGTATATATATATATATATATATATATATATGTGTGTGTGTGTGTACGTGTTGCTGCTGCTGCTGCTGCTGCTGCTGTCCAGCATCCTGCAACTTGATTTGTCACAGCACATTATGTGTGCTTATCGTGTGCGTGTGTGTGTGTGTGTGTGTGTGTGTGTGTGTGTGTGTGTGTGTGTGACCTCTGAATGACAAGGCACTTTCAAAAATCTGGAGCGACAATTGCAAGCGCACAACTCCATCCCCATCCTACACGACAGCGCACCGCAAGTAATCACCACAGATAAATGACAGGATTGGGACTTTAAGTCCAAGTTCTAGTTTTGCTGAAAAATATGTGCTTTGGATTTAACTGTGAATGCAATATAAATTGTGTTCCATTTTAAATCTGCAGATAGTTAATATCTTAGCGAAGTCTATATATGTATATATTGGGTATACTTTCCTAGAAGACCACTTATAAACTATAATATAACATAATCAATTCGAAACCAGACCTTATACCTGCAGCAAAGCTAATTACACCATACAAACATATTAAATTCTATAATTTGAAGCCGAAGCCGTCTTATTTGAATTACAGACTTACTTGTGAAACACTAAATAAAGCGCAAAGTTCGGTAAAAGAGATGAAAGTTATAATAAATGCAAGGATACGCGAGGCAATCAAACAAAGCAGCACAACTCATTTGTTACTGTGTGTGGCATGTGTGCGAGCGTGTGTGGCATGTGTGTCTTTGTGTGGCATAGAAGTAAACAACAATATTCAATTAAACAGCACGCTCGCATATAATAAAACATAATAAACCGTGGCAAGTTGTGGTCCTCGTTTTCGTTTCGTATGTGTCTGATGTGGAATACAAGATGAGCCATATACTTAAAGTAGATGTTGCTGTTGCTGCTGCTGTTGCTGCTGCTGCTGTTGCTGCTGCTGCTGCTGCTGCTGTTGTTGTTGTTGTTGCTTTGCTTATCTCAAGGCGTTTATAATTGAAAAAGTTTTTCGCTTGTGTGTCGCCATTGCCATCGCCATCGCCAACGCCAACGCGAACGCTGCTGCTGCCTTGTTGCCGTGCTGCCTTCCACTTGACTTGCCGTTCACACTTAATATTTCAGCAGGAGCAACTTCATCCGCTTCATCCTGCAAACGGCGGTAGAAATGCGTTAAGACTGCTGCCTGCTGTTGAATGACTGTGGCATAAAGATGGCAGATAGGCAATGCCATGTTACGCGCGGCTATTATGCGACTCCTTTGCTTGCTGCAAATGCCATCAGCGAAATGACACTGGCCATGTCTACCACCCAGTCCACTCCAGTCCAGTCCAGTTGACAGGCTGTTGCACAACCAGAACCGAATCCGATTTGATCTCACCTTATATGCAGCTGCTTTGTGTTTTCCACTTTTCTGTGGCACAGCCAAAAATTTGTGACCTCTTCTGGCATCTGTGGTATATTCGTATACGGGTTTTAACATATTTATTACGTTCATTTTATTATATTTTATATACACATATATTATTAATACGCAGCACGAGCCTCTGGAGAAGAAGACTTTTCCGATGCCAATTTGCATATTTCAAATTAAATTGCTCCACGCTGTTTTCGAAATTGAGGGCAGCAAAAAAAAGAAAGAAAATAAATAAAAATAAATTGTGAAAGTGATTTTATGGTAGTGTGACATTAATTAAGTTCGTATCGCAATTTCATGTTTAAATCATTTTTCAAAAGCATATTTGGTACACATTTTTGTAGACTTTATTTGCAAAGTCCAACATTTTTTTTGGCGAATTAAATTTAATTTAATTTACTTGCCAAGGGCACAAGAACTATTTGTTCCGTTTGTTTGCTTGTTGTATTGGTGGCACAGCAATTAGTCTATACGCATCAGCGCTTTGCTGTAGCAAAATTCAATGCCAATATAAATGATTAAGCCACACTCACACACACACGCACACACACAGACACACACACGCGTGCGCATATGTGTGTCAGGGTATTAGCATGTGTAGGTGTGTGTGCGTGTGTGTGTGAGTGTGGCTTAATCATTTATATTGGCATTGAATTTTGCTACAGCAAAGCGCTGATGCGTATAGACTGAATTCCACCACACTGGTGCCTAGGCTGTTTCCTGATATTTTGAGAGGGAAAAAAAGAAAGTGCAAAGAATAAAAGAAATGGCTTGAAACAAAAGCAACGGTAAACGAAGACCGGCTGCCAGTGCAGTTGTCAGTTGGCAAACGGAAAATATTATGTTACATAGCCGCTTAGGCAGCAGGCTTAGGCAAGGACATGCTCGCCAGGACATCGCAATGCTGGCAACGGAAGTTCAGCTCACACACACACACACACCCAAACACACACCCAAACACACACCCAAACACACACTCATACACACAGGAATTTGAAGGTTAGCTGGGTGTGGGGTGTCTGGCCGCTTAGCTGACACACTTGCGGCTTAAATGATGCGAAGTGTTGCCTAGTTGGAACAATATTCAAGGAAATTTAAGCGAAAAGTTGTCCAAGCTCAGCCAACAACAACCAATTAGCTTTTGTCCAAATGAGAATTATTTGCACAACTGACAACTTCGGCTAATTGGGCAAATTTCAAAATTTTTATGTATTTAAGCTGTTTTTGTTTTTATTGATATTACGATTTTCATTTCTGGTAAAATGATACACTGCAAATATTGTGTATTTGTTAAAGAAAACTTTTTGTATGTACAGCAGCGGTCATGCGAATAGCACTAATAAAATATGCAAAGATAAAATAGTCATGTTAATTGGGAAGACAAGTTTTGTTTCGGAGAAATCAACAAATAATCAAAAATAATGTTAATGCTAATATGATTCTTATTTGAAGCCACGACTACGCTCAATAAAAAGCAAGTATGTATATATAGCTATATTAATTAACAATTTCCATTAATTGATAAAATTGGCACACAAAATAGGTCAGCGACTCGAGGAAGCAACAACAGTTTGAGAGCACAAAATAAGCTGAAACTGAAATGCTGAAATGCTATACAAGCATTGAGTATATATACATATATATATATTAAATATATTCAAATGCCAGAATCAATTCAATTGCACACATCTCCCATGTGTGGTAATCAATTAGCCGAATGCATTTACCATAATTTTCATGTGGCTTACAGCTAATGCTAATGAAGCACTCATAATTGCTGTGGCACATTGCTATTTGGTAAGCTGAGCACGCATTCGCAGCATGCCGCAACAGCGATATGCATTCCTAAAAGCAAATTATCATCTTGAAGAAACTGCGAACGAAAAACAAACACAAAAACAACAACAATTTTACTGTACAAAAGCAGACAATATTTGTGAGTCTGATTTGTAATGATTTTTGGTAATTTGCTATATATTTTTTTTTACGTATGCTTCTACATATCAACGTTGAAATGGAAACTTTTCATTTAAGGCAAAAAATATTCTTGTGCAGTTGACTTCATTTCAACAGGAAACAGGAAACAGTTCTATGCCAATAATGTCCCTAATGGTTTGAAACGTGGGTTGTCTTTTGGTGTGTTTCCCAGCTGTTAACGCACAAAGTGTAGCGCGTTTAGCCAAGTTTCCGTTTATATCCAAAGTTATCAGCTTAAATTTCCCAAGGATATTTTGAATATCGTAAAATATTCATTTATCCGCAAGGAAATATGCAAAAGATAATCTCAAATCGTAAGCTGTTGCAATAAACTGAACGAAGGCTTTATGGCGATGAAAAAACTCAACACATGGGAATTTGCATAGTTCATTTTGGCAATGTGGTGTGCAGACTTGGCTAAGCTCAACAAACTCAACACACGTGCCAAAATGAGCAGAAGCATTCAGCAAGGGGAATTGAGCAAAAGCGCTCTCCGCGCACAACTCACTCAAAGCAAATGCTGGTCCAAAGTGACTCACTCAGTGACGGAGCAGCTCACAGCGCGTAAGCCAAACAGATGAGTGGCAATCAAAATGCGACCGGCGGCATTTCAAAAAGAGGCTCAAAAGCTTGCATGAATAAATGAGCACTATTTGTGAAAAGAGCCGATGCTGATTTTGAAGATGACATGTTGATCAAGATGATAATGAAAATTATGATTATGATGATCATGGTGATAATCATGATGATGAGAAAGAGAGAGAGAGAGAGAGAGAGAGAGAGAGAGAGAGAGAGAGAGAAAGAGAAGGAAACAAGGAGTGAGCAATGCGAAGGAGTTTAAGAAAATA